GCTCCTCTGAAATCCTCTCGTCCCCTCAGAGTCCCGCCAAATCCCCCCAGCCCCTCAGGGTCCCTTAAATCCTCTCATCCCCTTAGTGCCCAGCTGGGTGCCCCCATCCCCTCAGGTCCTGCTAAATCCCCCCCGTCCCCTCAGCGCTGAGCTGGGTCTTGCCATTTTCTCAGGTCCCGCTAAATCCCCCCATTCCCTCAGCACCCAGCTGGGTGCCCCCATCCCCTCAGGGTCCCGCTAAATCCCCTCAATCCCCTCAGCACCGAGCTGGGTCCCGCCATTTTCTTGGGTCCCGCTAAATCCCCCCGTCCCCTCAGGGCTGAGCTGGGTCCCGCCATTTTCTTGGGTCCTGCTAAATCTCCTTGTCCCCTCAGCGCCCGGCTGGGTGCCCCCATCCCCTCAGATCCCGCTAAATCCCTCTCCCCTCATCGTGCCTCAGGACCCTTCTCCCACTGGAAGGGGAAGCGCCCGGGGAGGCGGCTCTGGCCGCGAGCCGTGGCCCAGGCGCCATGTTCGACATGCACTTGCTGGTCAACAAGCGCGGGCCGTTGGCCAAAATATGGCTCGCTGCCCACTGGGAGAAGAAGCTCACCAAAGCACATATATTTGAGTGCAATTTAGAGACTAGCGTTGAAAAGATCATCTCGCCAAAGGTATGACGTTAAACGAGAAGGTGTCTTTGGTCAAAGGTCTGGGGTAGAGGCGTTCGTGTCTCGTAGGGAACAGGACTGTTGCTATCGTGGAGACTCACTTTAGGACAAATTTGTGGCTATTTGAAAACCAGTGCGAGGTAAACACCGACTCTGATTTTATTCAATCCTCTCTCAGATAAAATCTCCATCCGACAGTTGCATGAATCTTTTACTTGCTATTTTACTCCTGGAGATCTGTGGCGTACGTTTATGCACAGTGTAAGAAAATGTTACCACGATATATTCCCACATATTTTTCCGCGCATCGGTAGAGCTCCAGGGAGGGCTCTGTGGGCACCGCGGGATCACGGGACGTGGGTTTGAGCGGCTCATGAGGCAGCAGGAGCCCGTCAGTGGGGTGCGGTGTGGTAGCACTGGTCTGTCTTGGGAGACTGAGCACCAGCTGTTGAACAGGATTTGGGAAATGCTGGTATTTGAGGAAGTTGTCTGAAAAAGATCAAAAATTCTGCTGCTTAACCAAAGTCAAGGGACTAAGAAAACTGCTGCGGAATTGTACACAGACCATCCGAGGAGAATGCTTTTGCTGATCGTATAATAAACAACTTTGACATATTGTTGCCATCCTTCCACTTCCAGTGGACTTCTTCCAGGTCCTCCATTATCAGCCATTAAATATATAATTAAGCATACGTAGTCCTCATGGGAGGCTGCGTATGAGCAGTCCCAGAGGCTGGAGCCCTCTGCGTGTCACGGATCAGGTATGACCCCAGCAAGCACGGATGCAGGCAGCCGAGTACCGTGACTCAGTCCTTGGCCTCGCCGTCGCGATTGCATCCGAGGGAACGGTGAGCGACACTTTGTGCTGTCACTAGTCGGCTCAGGAGATCCAAGGCTTCCAGCTGGCACAAGCAGATTTTTTTTGTTTTCTCCATGAAAAGACCTGCTTGATATTTGGTAGCCCGAATTTCATTGTCTGTCTTGCGTGGGTTATGATTAAACTCAGTGTTGTTTTAATAATATTATTTGGAAGTGTTTTCCAAGAGGTACTAGTTGAGTATCCTCTGCTTTCCCTGGTGTGCTGTCCTGTCTAGCACCAGCATGACCACATGGAGCGTGCTCAGTGCAGGAAGACTCTGCAGAAATAAGGGCATAGTTACGGCCTTTAGTTGCATAAATAAGGGCACAGCTGGTATGGTGTCTGCTCACTGGAGTAACCAAAGCGTCGAATACCAGAATGTGTGCAGGCACTTTCCGTTTCCGGATGTGTTATGCTGTTGGCTGGCAGTCGGCTGAGGTGTTTTAGATGAAGGAAGAGCATCAGTTCAGGAGTCGTACTTCACCTGGCAGGGTCTAGGAACTGAAGCAACTAGAAGTTCCTGGCCCTGAAAATCCATTTCTGTTTACGATCCTCTGTATCAGTGGATCTGATAATTCTGTGGAGTTTCGTAGAGCTCTGTACTGGTCTATGTTACTGGAACTGTTACTACTGTGTCATATTTTCATTTTAATGTTTTTTGCCGAAAATACTAACTCCTAAACACCTTTTTTAAATCACCCAAGTTTACAATAGCTCTGCGAACCTCTGGACACTTGCTCCTAGGAGTGGTGCGTATTTACCACAGGAAAGCAAAGTACCTCTTGGCAGACTGTAGTGAGGCTTTGACAAAAATGAAGACAGCCTTTCGCCCTGGTATGTATGGAATTCTACTTTTTTTTTTTCCATGTGTCCTTTGCAGCTCTTATTTTAAAAGTTAATTTTGGTTATTTCTGTTAAATACACGTTATTGATCCCAAAGGATATTGAATTCATTGGTGCCTACTGTGGATGTGGAGTTTGGCTTAATTTAATGCCATTTCAGGTCTTTGAGTCCTTTAAAAGCAGCAGTATCTTAAGTGGTCTTAGGAGAAGAAGCTTGAATTCAGCCTCTGTTGCTAGATAATTAATTTTAATTTCTGCTGACACCAACAACATGTCTAACAGTGTGTTAGTGCCAGATCTGACAGTGTGCTTTGAGCTCCAGCCATGTAGCCAGCGCGAGGGGAGCAGGATGACTGGATCCTTTTCCAACAGGCTGTACGTTTGTCGTGCTTAGGCACCAAACGAGGAGGCACTGTTGTCTAAAAAAAGGCTAAGACCAGGACACCAGCATCTGTTGCTGGCCTGGACTGTTTGCAGAATAGTGAATACCTACTCTGCGTTATTCTGGAGGACAGGAACATGATTAGTTAGTTAATATTTGTAAATATTTGGAAATCTCTAGAAGAAACACTTAAGATAAGTACAGAGTACTTATCTATTTTGAATAGATACTGAGTAGCTCACAGAGGACTGCACAGCACAAGAACAAGACACAATGGTCACGACTGCGGCAAGGGAGACTCCAGCTAGATATAAAGTGGGGGGGGGGAAATTCCCAGTGGAAGTGGTAAAATGCTGAACCAGGCTGTCCAGGGGTGCTGTGGAATCTCCATCGGCAGAAATCGACAAAAGTGATCTGACTTAGAAACTAATCCTGTTTTGAGCTAAAAGTTGGATTAGATGACCTTGAGAAATCCCTTCTCACCTGAATTGTTCCAGGATTCTCTGACTACCAAGTCTTTGCTGTCTCACCTCACGATTATTTGATGCTGGAGGACAGCGTTAGGCAGGCACTGGGGAGCAAAAGAAAACGCAATAATTCACTTGAAGTGGTACGAACGACTCAAGGCTAAATGTCAGCTGTGAGAATCTTCCAGGGACTTAAAGCAGCTGTTCGTAACCCTGGTGTATCTACAGTATTTCACGTCCTGTGTCAGCAAACTCTTCTGCATCTGTCTGTAAAAAACATGGCTCTAAAGTACGTGTAAATTACGGATTTTAATTGCACTTTGGAGTCCTGTTGACAAAGTGCCCGAGCTTTACCTCTCTGTTATTTAGAGTGGCAGCAGGCCTCCCTGACAGGTTTATGGTCTTACTATACCTACTAGAGAGAACATTACTTTTATTTTATTGACACTTATTTTGTTATGTGGTCTGTGTCTTTTAGGACTCGTTGACCTTCCAGAAGAGAACTTTGAGGCCGCTTATCAGTCCATTACGTTACCTGAAGAATTTCATGATTTTGAGACACCACTACCTGATTTAAAGTAAATGCTTCCCTAGTTTTTATTCATTACTTTAGTGTTTTCCGAAGTAAAAGATATCCTTGCTGTTACCTGATCAAGACTCAGATGGAATAGTTTTGATTTGACAACTGAGTCCTCCTAAATTCCGAGTCAGCTTTACAAGTCACAGGGATTGTCCTTTTGTAGAGTTCCTCAAAGCCTGTTAAATCAACAGACCTTTACAATGAAGTTATGTATTGAACTTAGACTTGGGGATTTTCTAATTCTAAATTGTCTGAGTGAAGCCTGCAAACAACTTACTGGCCTCAAGAGCAGATACAAAAATTTGTGTAAGTTAGTGTAAGTTAGCAGATAGTTAGTGTAAGTTAGTAAAAGTTAGTGTGACTCCTGTTGTCAGACCGAGGGAGCTCTGGCTGGTGACCCCGCAGTGTTGCACTGTTCCCCTGTGTAACTGCATTTCATTTCTGCTCCCTCGCTCTTTGGGGCTGGGCTGTTTTGCCAGCAGTAGTCAGCTTGGCTCGCCATGAAAAGCCAGCGTGTTTCTTTGGCTTTTCTGACCCAAGTCAGCATTAACATAGAAAAACTGATCAAAAGCAAGAGGCCAGGACGTGCTTCTGATGGCTCTGATGCCCCCAACGGTCCAGAATAACAGATGAGGTTCCCCCTATACCTCGTCATAAATGCAGTTTGTTGGGATCTGTAAGTGTGTAGCATTTTGTAAGTACCTCTGTGACGTAATACACGTAAATTCAAGTGTGCCAACTCTGTGAGTGTGCCTTCGTGCCTACCCAAAGGGTTCGTGTGTCCCATTTACAGATGATGGTGTTACACCAGTTCGATGCTTTCTCTGTGACAAGTGTCTGGTGGATAGCAGGGCTTGGATGTGAACAAATTCACACAAGCCCAAGTTTCCTTGCAAAAGAGAGCGGAGAAATGCGGAACACGGAGAGGAGGATGGGTGCTTCCCTCATCCTTATAAATATGTCTGCTTTGGATCCTTTGTGTGAACTTTATCCATAAAACCTTAAGTGCCTTGAACACAAACAGCTTTGGGGAGCAGTTGTCCTCTCTCCACAGAAGTGAGGATCGCTGGGGTACTTCCAATGCCACAGGAAAGAGAAGCTCTTTTGGGGGTTTACGATAAAATGTTAGAATTGAAGACTGTTTAGAAACAAGTTTTCACGTTCATTCCAGCGAAACGGTCAATAGGTTTCAGTTCACCCTATATTTTGTATAATGTTTTTTTCATCAGTGCCATTGACGTTGCTGAACATTTTACCTTGAATCAGAGCAGAGCTGAAGACATCACACTTACAGAGGATTACGAAAGCAATATACTTCTCTGTGATAGAATCTTTGGTGAGAGAAGTTGAGAAATTAGAAATATTCCATAAGCAAAAGTGTGTTTTGTGCAACATTTTGTACAGCCTGAGTCCTTGCCACATGTGAAAAAGCTATTATTAAAAGTGCATTTGCTTCATACTTGTGCTAATTGGCCTGTCTTACTATCTTATACTTAAATTCTTGTGTAAGTACTCTGCCTAAGTAACATAATATTGGAGACTGAGAATCAAACCCAACATTTTCTGCTTTTTACTGAATTAGCTAAAGTTGTTCATGACTTATTCCATTTGAGGCATGGGATATCTGACAATCTTTTACAAATTATTTGAAAAATTAGGAAATGGGTAAACATGCGTTTCAAACACTCGGGCAGGTGAAGCAGCAGAAATTCTGTGTTTATTCAGATGAAGAACCAGATGCACCAAGAACGCAGAGCCGCGCTGCCGGTGGCGTCTTAACGAGCAGTAACAGTCTCGTGGCCGACCACAACTCTGCGAGCGTGAGTGGAGACACGTCTGCACTGCGTGGAGATACTCACCGCTTTGAGCACGACTGCTTTGGAGACGAGGGGGATGCTGCAGATATGATCGGTGAGGTTCCCCACCAATAAACAGAGCTGGTTTCCTTCCAAGCATTTTTAGTCTTACAGGAAAACGAACAAGACGGCATGAAAGTGGTTGGTCTCGAACATAAATTCTGTATTTCTTGTTGTTTTCACACTTCCTTTTTTCCCTACTTGTCGTTACATCTATGATCACTTAGACATTGCCAAGTAAAATTGTATTAAAGAAGATATTTCAGTTTTTTAGAATTAAAGGCATTCAATTTATACCTAATGTTTAACAATTTAATTTGTATTTCCAAAGGTGAAATACTGCAGCGTTTTTATCTGTATTGTTGTAATAACAAAGGCAGCAAAGCAGCTTCTGCATCTTCATGCTTTAGAGGATTTACGCAAACTTTTATAGATTTGTACCTTTTAAAGAATATCAATATCATACTTTTCAAAGAAAAGGTGGAAATCTCACTATTCAGACTAGCGTTCTCTTTTTGTACTGTCGAAGGCAGACGGACCATTGCCAGCCATCTGTGGAAGCAGAGCTTTTTTGCTTTACACAGACCTAACCTTACGTAAGGAACTTTAGGCTGTATCAGGCTGGTTCGTGACTGCTAAGGCTTGGGATGACGAAAACGGTGCATTTTGTGTTTCAGAAATCCTGCTGAGGGATGAGCAGAGCGGCGTAGATAAAGACCTTCATGACATGGAGCAAGAACATCCTTTGTCACAAGATCTGCCGGAGAACAGTGCAGCCAGTGAGTCGGCGGTGCCCGCTCCGCCTTACTCACACCAACCCTCCGTTCCTCTGGGAATGTCTAAAGCTGCTCACATTCAGCTTTGTGTAGTATTCCGTGCCTTTTTCCTTTAGTCACATCTTTTGCTTTTTTCCTAGCATGCTTCATCCACCATTTTAGGGATAGTTTAATTTGACCTGGGGATTCCAGGTTTGTAACTGGACGTTGCTTAGGAACACTTCTGTAGGATCTCCTGGTGGATACGCTGTTGCTCCACTCTGCTGCCCAGGCAGTGTGATAACTG